GAGGAGAGTAAGGAAAGGAACTAATGAGATACCTGGACTCGATGAGAATAGCCCTAGTTTTATCTATGTTCAGCTTTAACTTATTTATTTCTGCCCATCTGTTGATGCAATCAATAACCTCTTGTAGCTTTTGGGTAGGGTAGCGTCAGCCATCTCAGAAGGGTGGAAAGATTGGTAAATTTGGAAATCATTGGCATATAAGTGGTAACGGGAGTGATTTATGGAGTCAGAAAGATAACTAATATAAATGGGGAAAAGGGTTGGAGAGAGTGAGAACTAATATAAATGGGGAAAAGGGTTGGAGAGAGTGAGGAGCCTTGAGGCCTTGAGCCTTTGTGTAAGGTTACGTAGTGATTTAAAGATGAAATAATGCTGAATCAGTCGTGTACGTCTATCACGTCTTCTAGCGTCCTCTCTTCTTCTCATAAGCTCTCCTATCTCTGAATTAATCCAGGGTGCGGAGGACGTCTAAAAATACGGGTTTTAAGAGTTGCATGACGATTAAGGAAATCAAGGAGGTTAGAGGATAGACATTTTAGAATGTCATCGATGGAGGGTAGGGAAAAAATGGGTTCTAAGGAAACGGATAAGGAATTGAGAAAAGGACTGATATTTTCATTATTTAAGGAATTTAGATCTCTCCAGGAAATTTTTTTTGTTGTAAGTGCAGGAGTAGAGATGTTGTATGAGATGGTGCTGTTCCGTATTCTGTCTCATCGTGTCCTTACTCAGATATAATCAAAACAATAATAGATTCAGGTAAGTCCTTAAAATTCTCCATTGGGGGCAGACAATTTTAATTTATGAAGGAAAGAGTTCTAGTGACAATTTGTCTTCATGGAGACACATAACAATTTACCCTATATTAAGGCGAAATATTGTCGTGAGTTGGAACTGTCCACAACCCCCCAAAAGTTCCGGAATCATCTTAGAAAAGGGAAACTTAGTAAAATCAAGATTTCGCTTAGATACTGGAGATATAATTAGCTCCATTGAAAAGGGTGACACTATTAAATGCCGATGGAGGGTAGGGAAAAAATGGGTTCTAAGAAAACGGATAAGGAATTGAGAAAAGGACTGATATTTTCATTATTTAAGGAATTTAGATCTCTCCAGGAAATTTTTTTTGTTGTAAGTGCAGGAGTAGAGGTGTTGTATGAGATGGTGCTGTTCCGTATTCTGTCTCATCGTGTCCTTACTCAGATATAATCAAAACAATAATAGATTCAGGTAAGTCATTAAAATTCTCCATTGGGGGCAGACAATTTTAATTTATGAAGGAAAGAGTTCTAGTGACAATTTGTCTTCATGGAGACACATAACAATTTACCCTATATTAAGGCGAAATATTGTCGTGAGTTGGAACTGTCCACAACCCCCCAAAAGTTCCGGAATCATCTTAGAAAAGGGAAACTTAGTAAAATCAAGATTTCGCTTAGATACTGGAGATATAATTAGCTCCATTGAAAAGGGTGACACTATTAAATGCCTTGGTTGTTGGTTCCATGGGGAGCTATAGTTTGATGGTTCTGTGGCTAGAAATATGCAAAAATTGGAAAGTTCGAATCTTCTTAAGCCAGAACAGAAGATCAATAACATCAACGGATATGTCTTCCCTTCACTAATATATCCACTGCAGATGGCGAAATTCCCCCCATCACTATTGGAGTCTATAGACATCATATTACGAAGAAGTATTGAGACGATGGTTGATTTACCGTCCAGCACTTGTTCAGCTATGATATATGCACCATGGCAATATAGGGGCTTGGTTCTTTTGTCTTGTCAATGGGAGGCTCCTCTTCAGCACTGGTCCATTTTCCATAAGTTGGCCAATGTAACAGATGCCCTATTTTCAGGGGATTTTTTATTTCTGGCATAAAGTAGGAATGTGTGCTAATCTCTTAGGGAAAGAAGCGAGTAATATGAAATCATCACTAACATTTAGGAAGGTAAGACAGTCTCTGAGGGAAAAGTCCTTAAATGAATGGAGCAAATGCAAGTGGCAGGAAATTGGTATTAACCATTTTAAATCTAATCCATGGACCAATAAATTTATTTATGATTTATTTATGATGATTTAAGTTCTTACCAGCTCAGAATGGACGAACGCCATGAAATTAAATGTTGATTACGCTTCTCTTCGGAGTACCAGGGGCTGGAAGCCAAGTTAACGGAGATGTTGGACCTCTCTGCTGCAAATGTGGCCAAAAGTCAGAAACTTCAGCTCATGTGTTGGGCAATTGTTTGCATAACATGCTCCTTATCACTTGCCGGCACAATAATATAAGATAATGATAAAATAAGATAGTTAAATATAATATATGAAAGAATTTGATAATTAACTAAAGGAGAAATAAGAGATCATAGCAGATTATAATTCTAAAAAAGGAACCAAAGGAATATGAGCTCGTCTGTAAGATTAGAACAGGCTTCCATATGTTACAAGAGCTTAATATAATATGGTTTCCGACAATATTATGTACATATGCGGTTTTCATAAATACCTGTTGTTGGTATTATTAATATTTAATTATATAGATTATAACAATAAAAATATTAAAATTTGTATATATAAGGATACTTAAACAAATGAAAATACCCACAATGAAATATAAATAAATAAGCGTTTATCATTTTTACTTTCATTTCCCCTTTGTCTGAAAATACTTATTTCTGCTAACAGGGTGGTAACTGAAAGTTGTGTGATGCGCACACTGTACCAGATTTTTTAATTACCCAGCCACCTAAAATTACCCCTGCTTTTAGCAAAAATTACTACAATTAAGTGTTGCAAAGGTTTTATTTTTTGTTTTTGTGTGATATGAGATGTATTTTAAAATCACATTTTATTTATGAAAATAAAAAATTTAAAAATAACGATTTTTCTAATATTTTCCATGTAAAGTGGTTATAAACTGTGTTTTTCTCCCAGATCTCTGTCATCGGAATTGTTCTGTATTTATAAGTGACAAACTGAATGTTTCTTACCAAAATTTACGTTTAAATTAAAGAAATCTACTAATTGCTTCAATTATTTTCATGAAAACATAAATATTAGGACTAGAAACATTAAATTTGTCACTTATAAATATACGTTAATCCTATGACAGAAATCTGGCAGAAAAACATAAGTTCATAACCACCTTATAGTCCGAGAGCCCTTGAGAAAAAATCGACATTTTGAAAACATTATTTTGAATATTTATATTATATCTATATTTATTTCTAAACTTAATAATTTATTTAAGAGGTATGATCGATAATCACGGTCTATCAAGCTGATTTTTACCAAATTCGTCATAAACTGAGACAAATTACTATTAATGGCCCTGCAGCTTGGAAATGAGTTCTCTAAGAGAAAAATTCATAGAATAAAAGTTGTAGAGCATCGGATTCCATGTCAACTGAGTACTAACAGTTTTAATGTAGATCAATTGTATCTCTCAAATTGGGATTCGTTATATCTTCACGAAATTCATTTTTTTTTTTTTTTTTTTTTCGCCTATTATCTTATATCGCTGCTGAATAAACACCCTACTGTTGGAATACTTAAAATCACAGATATCTTCACTACTGATTTCGAGTGATGTAACCTACATTAAAACTGTAATTAGTGCTGTAACAGTAATTAGTGCTTTTAGGTGAGTTAGATGCTCTATAACTTCTATTATTTGAGTTTTTCTCTTAGAGAACTCTTTTCCAAGCTGCTGTGCCATTTATAGTAATTTTTATCTGTTTTTGATGAATTTGGTAAAAATCAGTATTTACATATCTAAACCCATATACACAGGTTAGAAGATAAAAACTTTTCCACATTTTTCGCAATGAATTTTCTGTTTCGATCTTCAAGTTGCTGGTCTAATATTCTTTAAATCAGCCGCCATTTTTACAGGTAGCAAAAATCGGCTGACAGGCTCATTTTTTAAATATAAATAAATGTTACAAATATTTAAAAAAATGCAGTTAAAGTTTTCACAAAATAATATAGATTTTTTCTCATGGGCTCTCTTGCTATTACTTCAACAATATTTGAAAAATCATTATTTTTTATTTCTATAAAAAAAAATGTGATTTTATGCAATTATGTTTATTAAAATATATCCCATATCATGAAAAAACAAGAAATAAAAGCTTTTCAACAGTTAATTGTCATCATTTTTCTGAAAATACGAATACTTTTAGGTGACATGATAAAAAATCAAATCATTTCTTTACATAACTGATGTGAATCTCAAAATTTTTTGTAATAAATTTCAACTTAATTAATATGAACTTGAAACTTATTTAACGCGAAAGTTTTTCTTGATGTGGTGTAACTGAAGTACACTTGAAAGTTGATAAAAAAAAAACCACAAATAATGTATGACTTTTTCTATGAACGGAACTTAGCTGTATTTGTCCGCTCAATAGTTCTCTTTATTAAATGGTTTTAGCAATGACAAATTCTACTTTCCTTTGAAGTAAATTTTGTTTAGTTTACTATGGAGCAATGTTTAATTACTTAAATCAAATTTTTTTTAGTTATCACTTCCTATTCAACATAAAATGTGACGCATAAAAAAAACATATCTTAAATTTCCTACGTTTCTGCTGAAAATTTGGCAATTATTTGTATGTACTTTTTATGTAGATCTTGATGGTTAATATTACTATTAACCTTTTAAATATTTCCCTCTACTTATGGAACACCCTGTATATTATTATTCCAATCTGTCTCACACTAACTTTCTCAATGTACTAAATTGAGTACATATTTTAAAATTGGAATGCTACTGAAAAGATTAGCTTGGCTTCTGCACAAAGATAACATGCAAAATCATAAAGCATTTCACATTTTTAAACATAATAAAAAAATTAGAAAAATGTGAATCAAAGGTTAATGAATGGTATCATGAAACCTGCTGTTAAATTCAAGTTTTTAGATTTTTATTATTGTAGTCCACCATGGACTGGTAAGGTCAACAAATAAATAAATGTGTTGTTTTATTTATTTTTAGAGTAACTGGTGGAGAACTTTTTGATAGAATTGTTGAGAAAGGTTCATATACTGAAAAAGATGCTTCTGATCTTATAAGACAAGTTCTGGAAGCTGTTAATTATATGCATGAACAAGGTGTTGTGCACAGGGACTTGAAGGTAAGTTTTAAATTATTTGAGTTAGAAATACACCCAAGTTCAAAAACCTTAAATTTTAAAACTACTACCGTCATTTCCGGTATCACGAGGGTTCTGGATTCTTTTTGTGTACCTCTGGCCTCTCCTGACCTTGTATAATATTGGGTTTTCCGGAAAAAAATACAGGAGTTTGACTTTTCTTTAGAATATTCCTCTATATAAGAAACTGTTTACATTTACTGGATTATTCATTTGCATGAATGTCAACATTTATTAACCCTCTTCCAAACGGTAATATTTGTTTACCTCTGTAGCATTTCACTGTTTAGAAATAATTCAGTCTTTACTAGGATGTCAACACGTGATTTTCATATAATTTTGTTTTACGAGTTTAAACTCAGCTGGAATGGGACCCAGAAGATCAGAAACATCAATCAAATGTGGGGCGAGAGCAGCATTAATGAGTGCAGTGTTAAACGGTGGTTCAAAAAATTTAGGGAGGGAAACTTAGCCTTGAAGGCAAAGAATGTCGTGGAAGGACTTCCTCTCTTGATGACAATGTTCTGCGGTCTTTGGTGAAAGAAAACCTTAGAACAACTGTTCTAGGACTTGCAAGGGAACTTATCCTTAGCAAATCAACCATCGATGACCGCCTCAAGGCGATTGGAAAAGCAAAAAAGCTTGAAAGTTGGGTACCACACAGATTAAACGACCACCAAAATAACTAGCGTTATGAAGTTTGTGCTACACTTTGCTGATACAAAAACAACCCTATTCTGTCCAGAATTGTTACTTGTGATGAAAAGTGGATACTTTATGATAACAGTAGACGTTCTGGACAGTGGCTCGACAAAGGAGAAGCAACAGAACATTTTCCAAAGCCACTAACTCATCAAAAAAAGGTGATGGTTACTGTTTGGTGAGCTTCGTTTGGTTTGATACACTACAGCTTCTTAAGTCCTGGAGAAACAATCAATGCCAAATCGTATTGTAACTAAATTAATGCAATACATCAGAAATCGGCAATAATAAAAACATCTTTGGTCAATCGGAAGGAACCCATTTTGTTGCATGACAATGCCCAGCCACATGTCTTACGTGTGACGTCATAAAAACTCTTGGAGCTTGGATATGAAATTCTGCCACCTGCGTTCTACTCTCCTGATCTTTCGCCAACGGATTATCACTTTTTTAAACACCTGGATCACTACGTACGTGACAAAAATTTAATGGACAAAGGGAATTAAAAAATGCATTTTTGGAGTTTATCAATTCAAAATATGGGAAATTCTATTCCGAGGGATGGAAAAGTTGCCAACACATTGGCAGAAATGTATTGATAGTAGTGGAGACTATTTTGATTAAATAAAATAGTTTTATATCTTTCTTTTTTCTTTTTAAACCAAAATCCTGCATTATTTTCTGGACAAACCAATACAAATGATTCATTTGGATTAAGGTTTGGACATTCATCACTGATCCTAAAAGGATGATTTTAATTTAAACGCGACTAACACGGCTTATATATTTGTTAGTTCAAACCCAACAATATTTCTTTAGTCAGTGATGGGGAGAGTGATGTTATAAAAAACAAACATAATCTCAAAGGGTGCCAGTCATGTAAACTCATAACAAATATAAATATGGTAAAAAACAGAAAAAAAAAAAAAAGAAGACCGAAGTAAATAAAAATAAAAAAAGTATAATATTTTGATTATAAAGCAAGATATTTCTAGATAAACATTGAAATGTTTGATAGCATTAAATCTGATGGAAATTGAAATTATTAATTGTAACTGAACAAATGTCTATTATGTGATTCTTGAAAACAATTATTAGAGGTGGTTCCCTCTTAGAGATGTATGTGAAGCTTCTAGACTATATACACTGACAGGAAAAAAATTCCACCCACTTCATTTTTTCATGTTTTCATCTAAAAATATTTCTGCCACTTGTAAAAAAAGTTGTATTTGTATATAATACATGGTATTTGTAGATAATACTTAGTATTTATGGAATTCTATAATCTTTTTTACCTTTAATAATCAAAATGTGATTGGGTAAGAAAGATTAGAGAGAAAAAAATTGAAAAACGAACCATTAATATTCTAAAAGAAATTAATTACATCATTGTTTAGTAGTGCGTGTTTCCTCCTCTTGCCTTCACTACTTCTTGAAGACGCCTCGGCATACTTTCTACCAGTTGGGAAATGTCCCTTTGCTGGAGGATAGCCCATTCCTTCCGAAGAGCCCTTCCAAGGTCTTGCAGTGTATCAGGAAGTGTTGCACGCGCTCTTATTCGTGTTCCGAGGTTAATCCCGTAAATGCTCAATGGGGTTCAAATCTGGAGAACGTGCTGGCCAGGCTAAAACCTCAATATTGTTCTGTTGAAGGAACGTCTGCACTATGGGGGCGACATGTGGGCGTACATTAGAATAGAACGATCGCCGATTTCGTTGAGGATAGGCAACACATGAGGTTCCAAAATCTCATCTACATAGCGAATGGCCATCAAAGACCCTCCACGAACAACAACCAATTCTGTGCGGCGCTCCATTGAAATCCCAACCCACACCATTAAGGAACCACGTTGGAAAGGTTGGCTCTGGGAAAAATTACAGGCTGCATATCTTTCGTTTCTTCTTTTCCACACCCTTTCACGCCTGTCTGGAGATCGAAGAGCTGATCTTGACTCATCTGGAAAAAGTACAGCACTCCATTCGTCCATAGTCCAATGGCTGTGTTCTCGAGCAAAAGCCAGCTGTGGTACTCTGTGAGTTCTGGTCAACTCTGGTCCTCTTACTGGACGAAAAGCCATTAATCCATACTCATTTAATCTTCTCCGAGCGGTACGTTCAGAAATTTGCACACCTCGAACTTCTTCGAGCTGATGAATCACTTAAACAACGGTAAGGTGCCGGTTTCGTAAAATTCTCAAAGTCAAAAACCAGTCATCCCGTGGTTCTGTTACCCTAGGCCGTCCAGAACCGGGCCTTCTATTGTAAGAACCAGTTTCCCGAAAACGCCTGACGGCGTCTCGTAAAGTTTCATATGGAACTCCGATGGCATTAGCTGCATATCTAATGGAACGTCCATCATCAATAAGTGCCACACACACTACACGCAACATCCTCAGCACTAAGAGGCATTTTTAAACTTAATATTGAAAAAATTAAAAGCCGGAGACTAAGAAATGTGCTGCAAGAAACGGCACTGAACTAATGATACTGAATAAACATTTTGATTCCATAGAAAGTAAACATTGGAATCTAGAATCATTTCATTGAATTAAGGATTAAGGGTTATTGTACCTATTTATTCATTAAAAACAATAGACCAATCCAAAGCAAAAATATTTTTAGATGAAAACATGAAAAAATCAAGTGGGTGGAATTATTTGCCTGTCAGTGTATTTGCAATGGCAGTATTCTACTACAAAATTCTTGAGTCCATAATAAAATAAAATATTCTTACCCAGGATTTTTCAGTTTTAACTTCGTGCTAGATGCACCTGCAAGTCTATTTTTATTCTTTTATGTTTTATTTTATTTTTTATTTTTCTTCACGTCCCTTTTGTCCATTATTTCATATTAATTTTCCTTTTTCTTTCAATATCTCCTTGAGATCTGTAGTAGTCATAATTGTATATATTATCCATCCTTATTACATTCAATTATTCTCTATATACAATAATCTACAATTATGGTTACCATTTATTTATTTCAGTTTAGGATCTTGTTACTTATTTTACTCTGTTTATATAGTTTATTGTTCTTAGTATTTCAATGTATATACTGTTTATCATTTCAATAAGTTTATTCACCTTGTTTATAATTTTTATCTAAATATTATGTAACTTCCACAATTTTCTATATACTTTTGTATCTTGTCCGCTCTAGCCCTGAAGAAGACCTGCAAAGTCGGGTCGAAACGTTGGCTTTAAATAAAATAGTTTTTCCACTATTTTAGTCTCTTTATGACCCCACTCCGGACCACCTCCTTCCACATTTACTTACACATCTCCACCATCTCCTAACACTATATACAAAACACTATGATAAGACACAAGCTATTTGCAGTGATAGACCAGTATGCACTTTTAAGAAAACAATAAAGAAAAAAAAATATTAAATTCTTCATTAAAATAAGCTTTGTTTCTGTTGAGAAAAGAGAAAGCTGAACCTGACAATATAAAGTTTCTGATTAATATATAGCATTTCCAAGTCAATTTCAACCTTTTCCAAATCAAATTCAACCTTTTCCAAGTCAAATTCAACCTTTTCCATTTCAAATTCAACTTTCGAATTTTTGTCAATTTTCGATTTTTTTCGAAATGAAGGCCACTTACTATATTATCGAAGGCATAGCTTTTGAAAAATACAAAAAAAAATTTGATAACGCGAGTTGCATATCCATTTATTTTAACATTTTAGATTTTTTCAGTGTGATATTTCTATGTCATTTACAAGTCAAATTCAACCTTTTCCAAGTCAAATTCAACCTTTTCCAGATCAAATTAAACTTTTTCCAAGTCAAATTCAACCATTTCCATTTCAAATTAAACCTTTTCCAATTCAAATTCAACCGTTTTCATTTCAAATTAATGTTTTAATTTTTTGTAAATCTTATATATTTTTTTTAAATAATGGCCATCCCATCCCCCCCTCCAATATGAAAGTCTATTATTATGCTCTCCTAAGTAGAATTTTCACTTACGGATATCGATTTATTGTACCTATTCGGATTTATTAGGGACTAGTATTATGCTGTCCTGTGCATAGTTTTGAAAATATCCCCCATTTTAAGATTAAGTGACTGCGGTTCGAATCATTTAAGTTTTTTATGACTTATTCGATATAAGGGTGTATTTTTATGTTTCCCGATCAGTAAATTTTGAAAATGACATCCATGTTATGTTTACGCCACTGTGTTTGTCTTATTTAAGTTTTTAGAATTTATCCAATATAAAGGTCTACTTTTATGTTTCTGGAGCCGTAGATTTTGAAAACGACCTCCATTTTAAGATTAGGCTACCGCGTTTCGACTTATTTGAGTTTTTCGGATTTTTTTCATATGAGGGTGTATTCTTATGTTTCCGGAGCCGTAGATTTTGAAAACGACCTCCATTTTAAGATTAGGCCACCGCGTTTCGATTTCTTTGAGTTTTTCGGATTTTTTTCATATGAGGATGTATTCTTATGTTCCGGAGCCGTAGATTTTGAAAACGACCTCCATTTTAAGATTACGCCACTGCGTTTCGGCTTATTCAAGTTTTTCGAATTTATCCAATTTAAAGGTCTACTTTTATGATACCGGAGCCTTAGTTTTTAAAACGACTTACATTTTAAGATTAGGCCACTGCGTTTCGGCTTATTCAAGTTTTTCGAATTTATCCAATTTAAAGGTCTACTTTTATGATACCGGAGCCTTAGTTTTTAAAACGACTTACATTTTAAGATTAGGCCACTGTGTTTCGGTTTTTTTAAGTGTTTTTGATTTTTCCTTCGAATAAAAAACAAAATACAAAGGATTAATTTATTTTTCAATAAATAAATAAAAATATCAAATCAAAATAAAAAAAAAATATGTATTGTCTCATTTATAATTTAATTTTAGTTATCTTTTTTAATGTTGTGGTCTCCTGTCACAAAATTATAAGATTTCGAACAATTAGCTGAAAAATCTGAATACGGAAGGTTAAATTTATTACCAGCTGCTTTTCGGCTTTTTAGTTTGTATTCTGTGGTTAATTTAACTTTAGCTTCATAATATTTATTTATTTATTCATACTCGAAAACATATTGATGAAACTTTGTATTGAAAAAATCCAAAATGAAGCATAATTATTCGAGATGCAGCGGCTTAATCATAAAATGGAGCTTAAATATTAGATAAATTTAAATACTAAAGATTAGAAAAATTTCAATACATCTCGGATAACATATAAGTAGATCCTTATACCGAAAAAGTAAAAAAAAAAAACTTTTATAATCCAAAACACAGTGGCATAAACTTGAAATTGGGTCATTTACAAAATTGGGGAAATCTACTGCTCCAGAAACATAAAATTAGATCTTTATACTTGTTAAATTCTAAAAACTTAAATAAGTTGAAACGCAGTGGCGTAATCATAAAATAGAGGTCATTTTCAGAATCTACGGTTCCGAAAACATAAAAGTAGACCTTTAAATTCGAAAAACTTAAATAAGTCAAAATGCAATGGCGTAATCATGAAATGGAGGTTATTTTCAAAATCTACGGCTCAAGAAACATAAAAGTAGACCTTAATATTGGATAAATTCGAAAAACTTAAATAAGTCAAAACGCAGCGGCGTAATCATAAAATGGAGGTCATTTTCAAAATCTACAGCTCCGGAAACATAAAAATACACCCTTACATCGAATAAATCAAAAAAAACTTAAATAAGTCGAAACGCAGTGGCGTAATCTTAAAATGGAGGTCATTTTCAAAATCTACAGCTCCGGAAACATAAAAATACACCCTTACATCGAAAAATATCAAAAAAACTTAAATAAGTCGAAACGCGGTGGCCTAATCTTAAAATGGAGGTCATTTTCAAAATCTACAGCCCGGAAACATAAAAATACACCCTCATATGAAAAATATCCGAAAAACTCAAATAAGTCGAAACGCGGTGGCCTAATCTTAAAATGGAGGTCGTTTTCAAAATCTACGGCTCCAGAAACATAAAAGTAGACCTTTATATTGGATAAATTCTAAAAACTTAAATAAATCAAAACACAGTGGCGTAAACATAAAATGGATGTCATTTTCAAAATTTACTGATCGGGAAACATAAAAATACACCCTTATATCGAATAATTCAAAAAAACTTAAATAATTCGAAACTCAGTCACGTAATCTTAAAAAGGAGGTTATTTTCAAAAACAACTCATACGATAACAGACCCACACATCGAAAAATTAAAGATAATTAAATAAATAAAAAAAGGTTGAATTTGAAATGGAAAAGGTTTAATTTGAAATGGAAAAGGTTGAATTTGACTTGGAAAAAGTTTAATTTGATTTGGAAAAGGTTGAATTTAACTTGGAAGAGGTTGAAATTGACTTGGAAATGCTATATAAATACGTTATCATTTAAATGTTGATTAATTTATATATATTACAAAATATTTTTAAAAAGTTGTAAAATCTGATTACATCATCTTTCAATATATGTATGTTTTGTTAATATTTTGTGAGTAATATCAGAGAGTTGGGAGCAAAAAGAGTTACAACTCTGTACCACTTGAGTTCACCTTCAGGTTGCCACCTAATCTTGGTTGAACTATAGCTCAATCAGATTGAGGACGTTCACTAAAAGTCAGCTTAGGAGCACCCTAAATTCAGTTAATGGCAAGTTGCCTTCATATGTTGTCTATGCTTAGAAAATATAAGCTCTCAAAAGAAATTTCAATCGTACCATTGATATTCGGCTTTGTTGAATAATGAATTTGCTGACCATTGTACTTGGTCAATTTTTCATATTGAATTTTTAAGGGATGTTTTAACATCAGGATTCTGGCCTGAAAGACAATACTTCTTGTTAAATATCATTATAAGCACATTAAATTTATTCAAAAATAAAAAAATAAAATTGTAGAGAAACTTCTTCTATTAATTAAAAATATGTTAAATTTTAATATTTTGATTAGTAAAATTGTATATTTTGAGTTTATTAGCCTTTTTATAAATCTAATAATTTCTGCTCTAGTTAAATTCAAAACTTTCTGCGTATTCTGATATTTTTTCCGGGTGTAGTTTGCTAATTTTCTGTTATGTTCTTAATGATTAATGTTATGATGTAATTTTGCCAATATTTATCACTTTGACTATATCTTTGATCCAGTTTTGTATTTCTTAAAATAGTTGATTGTGGTTATACTTATTCATTCCAATTGTTGTTCCAAATACTGGCAGCTTTATTTACATAATTATATTCTGTTATATTATGCTTTTAAATTTACCTTCTTTTCTGTTAAATTTATATAAATATTTTTTTATTTTAGCCTGAAAATCTTCTTTACTATAGTCCTGAAGAAGATAGTAAAATCATGATCAGTGATTTTGGCTTATCAAAAATGGAAGATTCTGGGATTATGGCTACAGCTTGTGGAACCCCCGGCTATGTAGGTAAGGCTGAAGTCAACACAATACCATTTTTCTTCATAAAAGACACTACATAGTTGTTTCTCTTTTGATATTTTTCAATATATTATTAGATGTATTATTTTATCCATAGGTATTTCATATTATGCTTTAGAGCTAATCTTTTATTTTAATGAATAGTAATTAGAGATTAGCAATTAGTACTCTTAATGTGTATTGCTTGAATTGTGGTATATATTTATTTATATTATTTTTTTTTTATGTAGTATGCTGTGTAAACCTAGCAACCCTTGATTGTTTTTTTGCAGTATCATTCAATAAATCAAAATTTTCTGTTTGTTCTTAAACATCTTGAAAACTAGAAAATAGGCTTAAGTTGAAAATTTACTTGTTAAGTAAAATACAGAACAACCCAAGTTTCATTTCGAGTCATAAATCTCATAAGTTCACTAGTTAAAGAGAGATTGAATTTCTCTCACCTAGCTCCTTTTCAAGACACATTATTAAAATAAATATTTCTAAATTAGTTATTAGTCACTAGTTGTTTTTTTGTGTGTGCTCAAATGTTTATTTTTTATTATGTTTGTAAGTTTTATTTTTTCATTTGTTTATAGCTCCTGAGGTCCTAGCCCAAAAACCTTATGGAAAAGCTGTAGATGTATGGAGTATTGGTGTTATTTCATATATTTTACTTTGTGGATATCCTCCATTTTATGACGAGAACGACGCTAATTTATTTGCACAAATTCTAAAAGGTATTTTTTTTTTTATTGACATCTCAAATTATTTACAAATATACTGTATTTGAGCAATTCAGAACGATAGGGCAGTCTCATTTCTTAATTAAAAAAAAAAAAATTACGATAGCGGTATCTAAAATTATTTAATTTTTCTTAATTTTGTATAAATCTAAAGAAGATTTATCTATCCCTCTGTGCAAGTTAATATCTCTAAAAGCTCTTAACCTAATCACAAGCCATTTGTTATGGATAATCGCCAATAATTACGTGACAATAAATTTTCAAATTTGCTTATAAATAATGTAAAAAAGTGCTCACATTATTCAAAAATACTTAGAACTTTATAGCAAAGTTTAAGTTTATATCTAGATTTTACAGTAATCTCTTAATATTTATGAGGGGTTCCTGCAAAATTAGACAGATCTTGAATTTGTTAAAGCAAGTCTTTGTTCCTGTGTAAATAAAAGAATTATGTTTTATGAATGCCAACAAAGACAAAATCACAATTTTTTAATTAAAGTACATACATAATTTACTTATTAATGTATTATACATTTGTAAATTTAAAATTCTGTTTTCTGTCATATTTTGTAAAATAATATGTTATCTCTGATTATTTTGCCGATTCAGTTTATGTCTTTTGAAGTTCAAAATCTTTGTAGCAACCTAGATTTCTCTCTTTGTACTAATAAGGGCTCAGTATGCAGTTTTTGAAATGGGTTATTGTTAAAGGGCTAGAAGCCTTGGTTAATTAATAATGAGTATGTATCGGATGTCATTTTATGTAATTAGATGTGGACCCACCTTAGAACAAAGTTAAAAACAATTCGTTTTCATTTTTAGCTAAATTATTCTTGAACTATTTTAATGTTTCTTATTTTGTTTATTTCACTCATATTTTTATGTTTCTCATTAAATTAGTTTCGTTCTGACAGACGAAAAATGTTGGTTGGTTTCATTAACAAGGAACAAAGAAAAAATAGTAAATTGTGTTCAGTATGTAGAGACATACTATACTTGGAATTATTTTAGACCATGTTTTTTTTTTGCCCCCGAATAGTTATGTACAAAATCCCTTAATGTGGTATCCTTTCACATTTTTGTTTGTATTGACTAATAATCAAAACTTGTGAGTATCAATGTATATTGAGGGATATTATGTTGACCTAACTATTTTATTCCTGCAATGTTTCATAAAGAAGTGGTTTTAGCTTGTTTGTAAAGTTAAAGTTAATTCTAATGTAGCTCTATATAATTGAATTAATATTGATGTTTTAAAATAATGAAAACATATATTACAGATCAGTTATTGTTTTTATTTTTATATACCTATGTATGACATATGGGAATATATCATAAGGGAGAATATTACAATCATCAAAAATTTCTTATCTGAATTTTTAATAGATATTGTTATTACTAGGTTTTCTGGATCCAAATAATCTGGTCTTGCAAAATGATCTTTAAGTGTGTATGTGAACAGCATAGCTCAAAAGGGAAAAGTCACGTGAGACTAAAACAATGAATTTCTAGTTTTATGGAAATTTTTTTCCTGCAATCAGCTTACCAGAAGTGCCACTTATATAATTCATTTTACATAATTTTTTTTTCAATTTTCTCTAGGTCATTTCTCTTGGAAAGACTCAATGTTGAAATTGTAGTTGACAACCAGTTGTCCCAGTGTAATAGGGTCTCCTCTTTTGAACCAATAAACTGTGAGGGAATACAACCGATTCAAAGTATTTCTGTGAATAGCCTCGGGTATGAACAGTCTCTACGGAAAAAACTTTATATGTTAAAGGATACCAGCTTCAATTTATGGAATAAACACGCTCTTTATGGCATGGAAATGGATATTGTGAATGGAAATCTACTAAATTGGCATCCTAGAGATATGAAAACGCAGAAAGAAGGATTCAAAATGAACACAAAGGAGGGAGTTCAACTGGTTTTTACGGATTACCTCACTTCCGAGTTTCGAATGAGAAACTGTTAATATTTTTCTTATGAAAAATGATGTTTCTTATGAAAATTGTGGGGAAAACATGTAGAAATTGTGTTTGGGATGACAGGATTAGGGAAGAGCTAAATGTACGTATGGTGAAGGAAACCCTAAAGAACAGGCAACTGAGGTATTATTGACATGTACCACTTGAACCATCACAGAAGCCCAATTAAAACCATGGAGGTAAAGATGATGGAAAGAAGACCAAGAGGTGCCAATAACCTCTTATATCACCCTCACCGAATGATTGATAAGGAGATGCAGAGAGAAGACTTTGACAGAAACATGGCACTGATGGTAGAAGTACCCCCATGTTGAAAGGCAATTAGTGGATAAAAGCAGAGTAATATAGCTTTATTATTAGAGACTGGATCTTTGTGCAGTAAAAATCCGAAAAACGTGCAGCAGAAAATCAAAATGTGTAAAATCGTCTAATTTACTCCTGAAAACGTGCAAAAATCATCTATTTTGTTTAATTTTTAATATTAATAAATCAAAATCCTATCAAAACTTATGTTAAGCTTCTGAATTAAAATATTGTGTCACCAAAAAAAAATTAAAATGAAACTGTTTAGGGTTGATCACCCTAAATTGATGTTACTCCCCCCCCCCTTCATGGGGTATATGTAAAAGGCCAACAAAGTAGGTAACACTGCAGCGACGGTGGCGCTGTATGTACAAAAACTAGTAGTAGTGGAGAAAAAATGGGCGACTAAAACCACACGAAGTAGACGAATACTCTATCCTCTTCAAGACCACCTTTCTTGCTGTTCTACCATGATAAGAGGAATGGAGTAGAACACCGAGACCCACCGGACACATGGAGGTGAGGAATTACTGCAGCCGGCCGACCACCGATACCGACCACCGTACCTCAGCATCCAGCCACATCAAGTAAACGATTGTAACCATTATACGCCAAACCCCCATCTTTATATACTGTTTAAATATAATTACAGTTAATTTCAATACAGTCCACTTGTTCATTTCACTTACCCAATCATATGTACCTTATCATATTAAAAATGACGGTACATCCCATTTCAGAAACATTGAAAATTAAAATCCATATTACAATCAACTTATGACAACAATACATAATATAATTCTACAATAAATTACAATTAACCTAAATCTTGATAAAAGAGAAAATAAGAAATAAGGACTAACACGATTAATAGAAAATTTAAAGATAATTCACAAAAAAATACAAAAAGGTCTCAATAATTTACCGACAAATAATTAAATATATTTCTTTAAATTTCTCTTAAATTGGTTAATTGACTGGCATATACAAGAAATGAAGTAACGTAGAGGAACTTAGATAGAAAGATTAAAGGTATGAAGGATAAGTATATATTATATAGACCAGACCAATTGATTTTAGATATTTAATGTTAATCAAAACTAATATATGCACATACATAATTATAAATTATCCACATTATCATGAAAACTTTATTTTTTAATCGAGTTGAAATTTACAATATTATAGATTTCGAACTTTGTTTCTCCAATCACTTAATATGAATACGTCTTTTAATTGAGAAAAAGAGCGTTCAACATGAACTGATGTTAGGAAATTCATTTTGTAACTTGCAACTACTGTTGGTTCCAGGGGTGCTCAGAAAGGGGTTTTCATGGCACAAGTTGCGCCATCAAACTTGTTGAAGGGGGCACATTTTGACAGGGTTTTGAATTTTGAGGGGGCACATTTTTATGGCATTTTGAATTTATGAAGGGGTCACATTTCGAGGAGGTTATGAATTTTCGAAATGAAAAGTTTCATACCAGGGGACAAGAAGAAAGCATGGAACAGACCACTGAAAGTGTAATTGAAGATGACATATGATTCCTAAAAATACATTATAGCTTGTACTGATATTAAAAAGAAGATACCAATAAAATATTTTAGGAGAAGGGGGGAGTTCATCGAGCTTAAGGGGTCCAAGCCTCTCAACGGTTAACGTGTAGCAATTATATAGTCAGAGTTTAATTCGTGAATTTCGTAGTTTGTACACAGAGATTCGTTGTATACTTTTACCAGGCCTGTCTATTAAATGTGCTGAATCCACGGGTGAGATTGAATCTTTATTTCAACTGGAACTTGTGCTGAAAGGAGCGAGGAAAGTTAGCCAGGATTTTAGTCGTGTTAGGCATTTTAGTTGAGACGGGGAGTGAGGAGCGCATGCGTTAGATAAGGCCTAGTTCTAGCCTCTATCTATAAGTCAGTAACACTAGTATCCAGGTTGGGGTCACGTCAACTTTCGTCACAGTATTCAGCGTATTTTTTTGTTTACATATTATTTTTATCAGACAAGATGGTTTCATGCCCAATATGAGGACAGACAGTTGCCAGAGAGAACAAGAAAACTCTGACATGCACTATTTCTACATGTCAAGCTATTTTTCATGGCAAATGCTTTATCGCAGACGAAGGGGAAATTGAAAAGTTAAGGGCATCAAGGAAGAATTGGGCATGCCAAAAAATTGTGTAAAAGCCCAAAAAAGTAGTCAATCGAGCGATAAGTGCTCTAGCCCAGGAAGATTAGCTTCTCAGAAACCAACTGCCTCCGGCGCCGTGTCACAGCTCCTCATGACCGCCATCCAAGACCTAACAGCGGAGGTAAAAGGATTAAAATTCGCCCTAGATGCTAATGCCAACGAGGTAAAGAAGTTAAAGATAACGCTGGAGAATCAGACCGCTATAACATCCGAAAACGCGGAAAAATTAAATGTAATAGAGACCCTTCTGGAGACCCAAAATTCGAAATTGGAAGGACTAAAGACGGAAAATGCGACACTCAGGTCCCGGGTGTCGGAGCTTGAAACTAGACTCAACAGGACTGAACAAATGCACCTATCCAGGTCGATTGAAATAAGGGTCGTCCCAGTGAAGTCTGGGGAGACACCCATGGGCCTGATGATGGGCGTGGGGGCTGGCCTGGGCCTGAACTTAAAGCCTGAAGATATCGACTGCGCAGAGTGGATGAGATCGAGACAGGATGAT